TCTCTCTCTCTCTCTCTCTCTCGCTCCACCCCTTCATCCTCCCCAATCATAATATTATCTTTTCCCCACAGTCAACAGCCTACCCTGTGGTCCAGACTGTGGTAACCAAGTGAGAGAGATGAAATCCTTCCTGCCCGTGGAGACGAGAAACCATTTCACCCTCTCCTCCCTCCCCCTCTCTCTCTTTGGCTGGTTGACCAGACACTCCAGTTTCTACGCAAGATGTCTTCGTCATTTCATCTTTGATCCTCGACTCTTCTTCTCCGGCCTATCTGTCTTTGTCTCTCACTTGATGAAGGCTGGGTTACAGTGGATAGGGGCTTTTGGTTTTTTCTTTTGTTTTAGCAAATTGTTTTTCTTTTTTGTGTTTTGGGATGACCTGTTTGTTGTTTGTTTGTCATTCAAATTCACAAGGAGGTTATTTTCTTTTTCCCAGTGAGGCCTATAGTGTTATAACGGGCTTGCAATAAATCCCCTAGTCTGACCTCTTATGGTTAATAAAAAAAAAAATTTAATAACAGGCATTTAGACAGACATGCCAGGCTCGAATAGTGGTCCAGTGTTGATGTACATCCAGTCGTTGACCTTGGTCTGGCACCACATTGTCATTTTGCCTCCTCTTGGGTTGGCAAGACTTGTTATGGGAATAAATGATTGAATGAAAAGTAGGCACTGTGAATTGAACCTACAGATAAGTGAGTGTTCCTTTTCATAACTGAGGTCACTATTCCGTTATGAATAATTGCAAAGGGCACAGAGCATGCTACAGACTCTGTAGAGCATGGATATGCGCTATAGCCTATATTATTATAATAAATGCAGTTATAATTATTCATGAACCGTGCATCTCGAATAATGTCTAGTCAACCTTCACGAGACTAAGGCAGTAGAGCAGGAATAGACAGATAAGGTGAAAAAAAATATCACTGGAAAAGAAACAAAAAATAACTGATAAATTGAAAGTGCTACACCTATGCCGGCCTATCGAAATAAAAATTGGTTTACATTGTTACATTTTATACTGTGGTAATGACAGGTGCCATGCTTGTTGGTGGTTGGGGGGCGCCGCTGGTAGGTCTGTCTCTTTTCTTTCCCTCTGTTGTGGTCGTATTTCTTTTCTTTTATCCTGTTGTTTCTGCCTGTCTGTCTGTCTGTCTGTCTTGCCCTTTTCATCACGATAATATGACCGTTATTGTGTAAGTGTGCTTCTATTCCTCAACCAATCAAACAGCTGTGGCTACAGATGGTATTAGTGCTTTGTGCTGCCCTGTACATTTTAAAAATGATTCTTGCGTTGTGGTGGTGGTGGGAGGGAGGCTCTATTCCATCATTTGCCCTTGTTGTTTGCTGGTGTTTTATTGACCTGTGTACTGGGTTGTGTTGTGTTGTGTTGTCTCCTGCTGGTGCTGAGACTTCTTCCTGAGGTGCCAAACCTTTGAATTTTCCCCTGCCCCCAACCCTACCCACCCTCTTCACTCCTTACCCCCTTACCCCTACTCCTACAACCCCCCCACTCACACCCGCACACATTGTTTCTTGTTTTGGGAGTGGTTGGAAGGGAAGCCACTAGTAGGTACTATGTACTTCTGTACCTTCCTTCTTTTGTTTCTCTCCGTCTTTATCTTACTTTGCTCCTAAAGCTACATAAATGGGGGGGGGTTCGGTGGTGCTTTGATGTGGTTTGCTCCCTCTTTCCTGTCAAACATCATTTGTCTTGATCTCTCCTCCTTGTTTTTCTTTGTATGTTACTCTTTAATAGTTATACCTCAAATCTTCAGCACTTATATATGACCTTTTTGTGTTGCAAGTGCTGTAAAACTCTTACTATAATTCAATAATGCTACTTGGCTGATGTGTGGTCAATGTACTTCTCTTTACTCATACCAGACAGCTTGTTTCTCTGCTTTGTGATACATTAGATTAAAGAGAGATGGTTGTACTATCAAATAGAAGTTATATGTTATTGAATAGCCAGTATATTTGTTGAGTAGATTTGATATTTTTTTTAAAATGTTGTACACTGATGGGCATTTTTTCGATGTTAGCCTTGACTCTTGTACCTGTGTGTCTATTTTTTCGCCTTGTTTTGTCGGCCAGTTCTGAATCTATCAGCTGTTGTTGTGCAATCTCGTTGTCTTGTACAAACATTTTTTCAGTACCATTTTTTACTGTAAAACTACCCATTTTTTTACTATACATGTATAACTATCTTTTTTCTTTGTAAGACCATGGTACCTTTTTTACTGTAAGACTTTCTTTAACTGCTGACTTTACATTTACTGTGTGTTTTGCTGTCAGTGTGTGGTTCTAGGGAAACCAGCAGAAAAGAGGAATAAGCCTACTTTAGGAATGGACATTTTCGCACACTTGAGATGCTTCATCTTTCTTGAAGTGTCATTCACCTTTTCTTAGTGCATCCGAGCTTCCTGAAAAAAAAAATTGGGCACTTTGAAAGGGAAGGTACTTTGTTTCCAATTAAAATGGAAGTTCTAGATTTGGTCTTAAAGATATCTTTAAAAAGAAGCCTTTCTCACATTCTCAAGAGTTTCTCGGAACCACACACATTTTTCCTTACGTCTATGATATTATCAACCAGTTTCTAGAGGCTCTGATCTGGGGCATCTTTTTTCCCTTATAAGCTTTTTGTTAAAGGCATAGACATGATAGAGCATGCTTTAGAGCGTGGATATATATGCTATCTATAGATGCAATTGTTATTATTAAAACTTTAAACCCCCCCTCCCCCCCCCCCCCTGGGCATTGCTACTGACGGAAGTGTCTTTAGGCCATTCCCAAAGGGGGGGCTTTTCTCGTTCATGCACAGCAGAATTGTTAATGGGCTAATTCATCAATGTCACGCTCATAACTGTGCATGATCTACAACAGGGAACTGCTGCTTTTTCTTTCTTAATCCTTACTATTGTCATTTTGCCTCTAGCTACTTCTTTTGTATGTTTGTCACACTCTTGTGACCCACAATTTCCGGGGTGCCTTGATAGTCGAAGCAGACTTTGTGCTGTTGAAGCTAGAGAGGTGAGCAGAGTAAGTCTGATTCCTTTTAAGGACTTCTCTGTTGACATCCACCCCTTGACGCTCATATGACCTTCTGCAGTTGCGAGCGCCGCAAAACCTCTACTGAAACAAACAACAAAACTTTAAAAAATGATTTCCATGTATGTGGAATAAGGCTGATGATAGCCTTTGCTACATTCATATCGCTACCGTAGAATTACAAAGTTCTATCTGACATTTTTGGATGTTTGAGTTACTAAGACTCTGAGGTCAGAAACCAAGTGTTCTATCTCCTCTGTCAAAGTCGTAAGATTATTTTGGGGGTCGTTATCAAGATAATCAAAGAACAACATTCGAAAAAGCTTGGCCATGTTGTGAAACTCAAATTTTTTTCCGTCAAATTTCTCAAAACTGGGTGCTGAGCTTATAGAACTTTGTAATTCTAGGGTAGTGGTGTGTGGGATGATGCTGATGTATCATACCCAGGCCTATACCTTAGTCTTATGCCTTTGCTGCATGCATATGTCATGTATTGATACAGTCTGGCACAGGTAACACGAGCAAGGAAAACTCTACAATTTGCAATTCCTCAACTGATTTCTCTTTAATTTTTCGTTATCAGTGAGGCCGAATTAGGGATTTGTCGAAAACATTTCTGCTGTAATCTGACAAAGTGCCTTTTAACCCTTCCAGCCCCATGCGCGTACATTTTCAGCAGCGCTTGTACCTCCCACCATCCAAAGAGCGTATATTCTGTTTCGGGGGTACTGAATTTGAGCATTATTCAAAATTAGCTAACTTTATAAATATTTAACTATAATTTCATATTTATTCATTTACCTTTAAACTGAGGGTGCGGTGGCGGAGTGGTTAGTGTGCTCGTCTCCGAAGCGAAAAGTCCGGGTTCGAGCCTCGGTTTAGACACAGATTTTTTTCGGCCCCTCCTTCCTAGCCAGCAGAAATTGGTACCTGACTTCGAGTTGGGGAAGTAAAGTCGGCGCGGAAAGGAACTGGCCAGCCTACCACAATATGCCGAAGGCCCAGGAAGTTGTCTTACTAACAAGGCAATCCCCAATGTCCGGATCAGATGCGGAACAACTTTTTTAAACCTTTTAGCAGTATTATAAAATATGCTATTATCTAAACCTCATTACAAAGATTCTACATCATTTTTTTAAAATGCGTGCCTCTTTTTCTGAAATCCTGCTGTATTGGCTGGGGCTGGGGTTAGGGAGTGCACAAAAAGGGCTGGGATTGGAAGGGTTAAAAAAATTCTCAGCAGTTTTGAGATAAAAAGGCTTTTTGTCAGTGTAACCATTTAAAAGCCCAGGGCATTTTTGTGAAATCTGAGTTCTAATTTATTTTTAAAAACTAGTCACAGTTTCACTCTGATTTTTTCACGCGAGAAGAGTGACTGATCAGGCTTTAGATTTAGTTAATAATAAAAATGGGCGCTGAAAAGGGAAAAAAAGGGTTTTGTCAGCTTATGGCAGATTTGTTAATAAGCCCTGACTTGTTTGAGTTATCTGTGTCGGACTGCATGTTGTTCCAATGTTATGTATGAACATGCTGGTAGGTTCTTGTTTTTTGTTTTTTTCACTTTCTGTTACTCTCCATACAGATATCTAAATATATGACCCTAGTCAGTTAAAAAAGATCTTGTGTAGACCTCTTTTTCTATTTTGAAAAGTTGTATTTCGTTTTCTATTTTTAATATCAATCTGGCTTGAATCACTTCATACCAAAATTTATATGACTTTTTCATCAATTCATATATTTGACGTCTTTGTAGGCATATGTCATCTCCCCTTTGTAGACATATTGTAATACATATGCGGAGAATTTGAATCTCTCTTTCTTTTGTTCTGGTTAATTTGTCCTGAAAAAGTAGATGAGTGGTTGACAGGTGCTCTGGTGTGGTTTGCATCTTCTTTCCTATCGAACGTCCATCGTCGTTGTCTCTCCCCCTTCTTTGTTGTGTTTGTTACTCTCTTCTAACACCTCTCATTTTCGGCACTTACATATGACTTACTTGTATTGCAAGTGCCATAAAACTTTTACTAAAAATTGAAGTTTGTGTGTTATGGATTCCGCAGGACACCATCGCTGGTAACTCACACGGCTTTTCTTTTTTAGCTCTGTCTGTCTGTCTGTCTGTCTTACTCTTTCCCAGCACTAATTATGAGCGTTGTCATGTTTCTGTCTGTCTGTCTGTCTGTTTGTCTGTCTTTCTTTTTCCCAGCATTAATAATGAGCATAATCATCTGTCTGTCTGTCTGTCTGTCTGTCTGTCTGTCTGTCTGTCTGTCTGTCTGTCTGGCTGTCTGTCTGTCTGTCTGGCTGTCTGTCTGTCTTGTTCATTCCCAGTACATGTAGTAATAATGAGCGTTATCATGTGGATGTGTTCCACACAAAAAAATCTGGTGTGGTTTTTGTGACCGATAACCGCCGTCTTTGAAGCCTCATTCGAGGGCGCTCGTGGTCTAGAGGTACGGTGTTCGCCTCTCATTCAATAGGCTAGGTCTCCGGTTCGAATTCTGACAGCAACGGGGAACGTTTTCTTCAGGTAAAAATTTTCTGATTTCACCTTTCCTGCTTTCTAATCATGTTCTAACGCCTGCTTTCGTCTCCACTTTCAACTTTCTTTGGTGGTCCTAAATTCGATGAGAGTAGGCTCCAGCCGCCACCCGATCAAAATTCCAAATTCATCCTTACCAAACTGAAAATGCTTAATGTATGTCCCGCGCGCTCATGAGACCTTATGTTGAGGCTGTCGTCTTTATCGCTCCTCCTTTTTTTTGGTGTTTGTTACTTTCCAATAGCACCTCAAATCTTCCACTCTAAACTTATAATAATGGGTGGTTGGCGGGTTGGATGGCGCCTTAAAATATACCACCCCCTCTCCTAACAAAAAAGCCTGATTGAAGGCTGACATGTTATTTATAACGATAACAGTCTGAGAAAGCGATGAACTTGTCTGGCCCTTTTGAATTGTTATGTTGTAATATCTGTCTTTATCAACCACGGAAGCTGTAGTAAGATGAAAATGAGCACAAGTAGACTACTTCAGATAGCACGAGACCAATTTAATCGTGAGGTTGCAGGTTCAGGCGTTCGAGCCGCGGGCCCGACGCTGTGTCCTTGGGAAAGGATCTAAAAAAACAACAACAGAATTTTCCTTACTGTTGGACTATAAAGATTTTTTTTTTCAGATTGTTGTAATTTTACCTCATGCGACTCCTACTTCCTGGTGAGAATGGGTACCCGGCTATAGACAGAGAAAGATCTTGTTAGTATGCTGCTAGTGTTTTAGCGCCTATATGGCAGTTTGCACTGTATGCTTCCAAGGAAGTTGAGATTCTTGCAGAGTGCTATCAGGTCTGCTGGGGTAATACTAATAGATTATAAAGTAATAAAGCGCCTTTGCGCTGTACAGAAGCTATCTATTTACATAATAATACTTGTAGCTACCGGCAGTAGATAGCCAGACCCATAATTTCTTTTCCTCCGTAAATGGCAAAGGTCATCACCAGTTTATGGTGCACGAACTGTTACGTCAAAGGTTCGTTGGTTACATTACATTTGTACTTGGAGGACAGATTTAGATTCGGACCTATACGTTCTTACTACGATCTCGCTGACCGTCTAGATTCTCCAAAGGAGATGGGATACAGCTGGGCAGAGGTGGTGACTATAGCCACGGGGAGCTGATGGATGCTCTGGCGTGGTTTGCTCCTTCTTTCCTTTCAACAAACCTCTGTCGTCCTTATCGCTCCTCTTTCTTTTTTTTGTGTTTGTTGCTTTCCAGCAGCACCTCTAATCTTCCACTCTAAACTTATAATATAGTCTTACTGTGTTGCAAGTGCCGTAAAACTATTACTAAAAAAGGAGACTTTAGTCCAGGGCAGAAGTTGATGGAGAGCTCTTTTTTGATGGC